TAGGCCTTTGTAATTCAGTGTGCTTCCATATTGTATTGTTAACATTTTCAATCAATTGAAAATCATTTCAAGCTACTCTCTCTTTGTTCATCATTCATCAACTGTGTTCTTCATTGATTGTTTACTCTGTTTGTTCTTATTGTTTCTGCTGCACTGTTAATGTTTAAAGATCATCCAGAGTATTTGATTAATATCCAAAACTGAGTCAATCGATCATAACAAGGTGCAACACTTGTCGATTCACCGATCTGGAACAGTCCCCGAACATAGATGGAATTAGATAATTCGTTCATTTCATATGCCAAGAAAATGCAACTGAAGACCTCTGAAATACCAAAGTTTGATTTAGGTATTTCACCTGATAAAACTCTTGAGAGTCCGCAACCCCTTTCATACATCCCTGCCTTCAAAAAAATTATTGTTCTCACTAAACTCACAAGTGAAAGCAATCTGTGATGCACCTAAAGCATCAAGAAGGGATGCAAACTTAGGGGACTCACTAAGATCACCATATGTTAAGCGGTGTGAAAAGATCGATACGGTAGAGACAAGCTCGGAAAATAAAATATGCTCCTGGATAAATGCAGCAACAGAACCAACTTGGTAAGTACCATTACCTTTAATATATTATGTTTAATACATATACCAAACAAAGTGTAGTATTAAATTACTAATTTGAATACATGTTGCAGTGAATCCGTATTTGAGACCACAATAAGAGCTGTTGCGTTGAGAGGCACGATAGAATCCCTATGTGCACGAACCCAAATATATAGTAATGTTATTGATAGTTTGGCAGCATTACTAAACCATGAAGAGCGATTCAGAAACATATCATCACCGAGAAGGCTATTTATGTACAGCGAAATTCTTGTAAGTATGCTTCTATAAATAATGTAAATCATATAGACAAACTTGTACATTATCTAATAACAGAATGGTTGAACCAGCCGACAGCAATGCTTGATTCAAACATAAAAGAGGATGTAAAGCTCGAGATGTTTGTTGACAATCTATCAGCAACAGTTAGACGTGATGCAGACATGTTTACCTTCAAATCGATTGACTTGGTGAGTTAATAATTAGTAACTAATATTATTATGTGTTTTTTAGATATTACATTTAATACACAACTATCAATGGCAGTTTTTCTTTCCCATCGTTAGAGACATGCACTTCTTTGTGGTGGTGTTCAACTTTAAACGTCCTTCCATATTGGTTATAGACAACCTGGAACAAGATCTTGAATCACCCAACAAATATGAGGAAATACCGGATCTTTTGGTAAGAAACATCAGACAAACTAAATTTTAATTCATTCATGGTACGTTTATTTATTTAATGTTTTGAGTCTCATATTTAACTGGTTCTTGCAACACTTTTTGATGATACAACATCTTAAGAAAGTAGGACATGCATTATATGAGAATTTTGTTGGGTTAGATCCGGTGAAGATTGCATTGAAATGGTCTACTAAGCAGAATTCGCATGATTTTGGTGTTTTCTTGATGCGTCATATAGAGTGCTACATGGGGGAGTTGCCTTACAGATGGAAATCAGGACTAGATGTGGAAGGACCAAACCAAGTCAAACAACTGCAATTATTGAGAAGGAAATACACTACGAAACTATTGCTTTCAGAGTTCAACATTAGACGATCATTTGTGATAACAGACTATGAAAAGTTTAGCGCATTGGATTTGAAGGAGAAAACACGTTTACTTAAATACGCAGAAGCCAATAGGGAAGCGAGGCTCCCAAGCATTTAGGAACTGATTCGGATTAGTATTTCATATCGTATATAGTAAATGGTTGTTATTTTTGTTAGTAGTTTAGAACAAATATATTAACGGATATGTTAGTCTGGTGTTTTGTTTTTAAGACATATGGTCTGGTATTAGCTTATATGAAAGGGATATTTCGAATTTTTTTGATGAATACAGAAATGGTTTTGCGTGTTTCATATGTTTTCTCATTTCATTAAGCATTTTAATGGTTGTTATCACATCTTACAATACATGTATATACTATGGGATTTGTAATATGTATCACATCGTGTCATAGTGAATCACAACTACAAACCATGAATCATGCATCGTATAAATAGTCAAAAACTGTTATCAACTTTACAATACATGTATGTACTAGGGGATTTGTATTATGTATCATATTGTGTCACAGTGAATCACAACTATTGACCATGAATCATGCATCATATAAATAGTCAAAAATTGCTAAACCAATCAGTCTGTTGAAAACAAAACAAATGGAAATACAGAAAAATTAACCAATTATAATTACTAACATTATAAACTCGTACTCAACACAGTACATAAAGTTAAATAAAAACATGAACTCTTATATAATTCCATTAAAAACAACAACAACTACAAATTCAATTCGATCGATAACATAATAAAAATTGAAAATTGTATTTATATAAAAAACAAATGGCTCAAAAACATCAAAAACAAAATAGTCCTACTTTCTCTTCGCTGGACAGTTACGGATATCGTGATTAGACATCAACTTGCATCCACTACACATCCTCTTAGGCCGGCTACTCTTCACTGTTGCTTTCTCAGCTACAGCAATCAATCTTTTGGACGTACCACAACCTTTGTTCCTTATACCGGTAGCGGGATGTATCTCAATGTTATCGGGTCTTGTAAAACCAATAATTTGTTCTATTCCACACTCTTTACGTTTCATCAAAGGTTCATATGTACGATCTTTGGCTACATCATCCCTCATTTCCTTAAGTGTGGCCATAAATGATTCTAGTTTTTCTTTGTTATCTCTTAATATGTCCAACACATCATCGATAACGTCATATGTATCATTTATTATTCTGCGTTGATCCTCGCCTATATCGCATATTCTTTGACGGCTGTTTTGAAGTTCAATCGTCATAAGGTTGCGTCTCCATCTTCTCAAAATGTATTTTTCAAGTATAGATTCAACACCGGTGTTTAGCAAAACTTTAAACACGTTTCTGCATAAATAACCATGTCGACTGATGTGATTGCAACTACAAACAATGGTAGACTCCTTCAAATTACGAACAACCTGTACATAATGTGAAGTTCAAACATCAAATATCACAATCGAAATGTTGTTCAAACAAAACAATAACATATAAAACCAATAATAAATAATTTTCTATGCAATCATACCTTATACTCTGCTATTTTCTAATCTTTTTTTTCTAAATGTTCAATTAAATATGTGTCAACTTCCTCGTCTGCATTCACACTCTTAATTGAACATGTCTAGGCAGTCCTGTGTATCTTAGTTTGCACCTCAAAAAATACAGAACGCGTGTAAATCTCACAAGCATGCCTCTCTAATTTGCTATAGGTCAACCATTTAGGTAAGGTAGTCCTTGTGTGACAATCAAGACGATGTTGTTCCCTACGTTATTTCTTCAACGCAAATTCAAACCCCAACATATATTGAAAAAGATTGTTTCCACTCTTTGAAAAAGAGTTAAAAATGAGTTCGCACTTTCCGACCTGGACGTTATCTTCATGAGGCAACACATTGGAAGCTCTTTAAAGTACGCGGGTATCCACTAGATCTTAGAGCAAACATATCTTTCAACCACGGATGATCTTGAAGGGAGAAATTCTCGATAAGAACCATCCATCTACTCTCAAACTCATCAGGGGATATGTGAATGTTCCATATGAGCTTGAAAATTTGTTTCTTAAACGCGGTGTTATTAAGAAGATCATAACGACTTTATAGCTTCTTCTCGCTTGAGCTGAGCACGTAAGCCAAGCCTTCACTTAAAAAAGTAAGACTGTTGGTCTTGCTAAAGAAAAGAGCCTGCGAAGGAAGCTTCTTTTAGAATTTATTGCTACAATTTAAGCCTTTATGAAAGTGGGCTACCTTATTTATTCAAGCCGCAGGAAGACTTCCTTCTTTCCCTTGCCTGGCTGGTGCCCCAATGTTCAGACGGACGAATGCTGCTGGGGGAGTGCAGAATAGACCAGCTGAAGATGGGTCCCTGGGCGGCTCTCGGTTCTTGAGCATCATCAGATTTGACTACAAAGGAAGGAACTCGGCAGAACCCGAAGACAGGCAAGGTTTCAATTGCTTTCTTTCCCTCAGACGAGAAAAAGGAGGTCTTCCTCTCAGAGGGAGTATAACCGGGTTCAAAGCAGAAATTGCCATGATTTTCTACTTATTGAACGCCAAAGGAGACTGACCCTAAACTGCAAGTAAATTAATTATGTAAGCAACTAAAGAAGAAATAGAATAATATGTTGTTCGGTGGCTTTCTAATCTTGTTGGGGACTTTATTCATAATGTGCCAAATACAAAGCCTGTGTCTTGAATCGGGAAAGACGGATGCAATTGCTTGCTTCATCGCAGGACATTGGTCAGTAAGAATCATCAGAGGGGGCTTTAAATGTGCTTTCCCAAATGCTTGCAGTAGCCATTTGTAATTTGGAACATGTTCATGTCCAACCAAAGCCGATCCAACAGACATTGCAGTTATGGTTGTCAACCGCAGTGAAAGGAACAAACACCATGAAATGTCTAAAACAATAAACATGTCAATAATTAAAATTTATAAAAAATGCCATTTTCATATAAAGCAGCATATACAAACCTGTTGGTTCGGAATGTAGCATCAAAAGATATTACATCTCCAAATTCTGAATAATTGAATCGAGCTACCTCATCAACCCAAAAACTAGTATGCAACTCGCTACCAACACAATTGTACTAGAAAAAGAAATTATGATTGGCATCTCTCTTCCTGGTCATCAAATCAACCACACCTTTGCATCACCACGACTGACAAAATTGTCACAGTCCCTCTTATAATTTTGATAATCGACAACCATTGGACCACCGTATTCGTACCCTCCTCTTAGAACGTATGCAACTTATAAGCCCGTGTGGCACCCATATTTGAGATACCGACATCATGGACAAAACGTTGATCTGAAAATTTTATTTGGCGTCCTTTTCTAGTTAAATCTATATCGTCGTGCCTCAAAAGTAAATGGTTGTGATCCTTTTCAAAACTATAACACTCATATGTTGTTGTTCCTTTCATCAATCGGAACTTGATACATTTGGTATCAGAGCCTGCTAATCAAATTCATTAATTAGTCGATCGATATCCATCTGGATTCTACTCTTAATTCTTTTTCATTATTCGTTTTAAAAAAGGATTTTCACTCCTATTTTTCTCCGTTTAAAACGTTTGCTTTTACGTAATCTGGAAATAATTTTTTATAGTCGATCATCTTTCTCGTCAATCTTCTTCTTAAAATTTTAATCAAAAATGTCGTCTCAATCATGGAACTCCATGTATAGTGCCGGTTCATTGACCAAAAATACCACCCAGTGATAAACATCCTTCAACACCACTTTTTGAACCTCGCATTGACGAACACCGATGACCTTGTACCTGAAAGGTATATCCAGGAATTCTAGCAATCCTGCTCCATAACTGACTCCCATAGAGGGATTGTTGGAGACTTTTATGTCTCGTCTTCAAAGGAGTTATTCAATGTTCGTATTTCACAGTCCATGTTTTCCCACGTTCTTGAAATCCCTACAAAAACGGACCTAGGACTTAATGAGTACGCCCCTCTCCCATCTGGGGATGAAATCGTTGCATTTCTGAAATTTTTGGGGTACAACAAAGCTATCCAGTACCCGTCTCAATACCGTCGCCAATACCTGCCTCCAATGTGGAACACAATGTTCACATTGGTCAACAGATCACTGACAGGGAAGATTGGAAGCTTAGACATGTGCTCCACGAACATCCTTCAAATTCTGTACGGCATCTACTTTGACTTGTCCTTGGATTACTCCTTGATACTCTACACAGAGTTCAAGGTTGCCGTTGCCAAGAAATGCTAGGAGGTGGCAAAAGGAAAGGAATTACCATCTCTGCTGTTTCCCCGCTTCTTGGGTCTTATCCTAAGGCACGTTCTTGACGACAACAACATCAACATGGGTCGTCTGCACGTACACAAGGTGAATGTGCTCACCCACTACAAGCCTACCGTCAACAAAGAGGGCTACGCGTCAGAAAGGCCCATCCCAAAGAAGCTCTTTGTGTATATAAAAACAAGGGAGGTAAGAAGAGCGTACATACGTGCACGCGAGGCACTAGAACCAGTGTCTCGAACCCCGGCACGCATAGGAATTACCAAAGAAGAAGAGAGAACAGAGGACACTCTAAGGCCTCAAGCAGAGGAAGAGGCGGTGAGATTAGAGAAAGAGAGAGAGAAACAAAGAAAAAAAGAGGAAGCAAAGAAAAAGAGAGTGGAGAGGGAGAGAAAGAAAAAGGAAGAAGATCGAGCAGAGCAAGCCAGACTGGCCGAACTTGCTCATGTACGAGAAGAAAAAGAGCGAGCAGAGAGAGCTCGACAGGCAGAGATTGCTCGCCTAAGGAAAGAAGCCAGACTCATAGCAGAGGAAGAAGCTAATCGAGGCTTGGAATAATCCTCTAGCTCTAATCAAGAGGATGACCAAGAGCACTTCGATGATGCTGCTAGGTCTTATACTTCAAGTAAGGAGAGTGCGGAGGAAGAAGAAGAAAGTGAGGAAGAAGAAGAAGAAGAAGAAGAAGAAGAAGAAGAAGAAGAAGAAGAAGAAGAAGAAGAAGAAGAAGAAGAAGAAGAAGAAGAAGA